TATTGAAGCTTATGACATTCGTCCTGAAAAACCTGTATTTTATTTGATATTTATTTTTCTAATATTTGTAAATCAAGGTCATCTGCTCTGAATTTTGTAGACTCAGTACTCTAACAAGGTTCTTATAAAACTTTGCTAAATAAAGCACTGATGACTCCATGACTGTTCAAAGTCATCTCTAATGGTAGGCATATACATTTTCCAAGTATTAATCCACAGATATAGTTTCCTTTTGTTAAACAAGGGAGAAGAACCTATTTCCCTAAGTCGTGAACCCATAATTCCTAGGCAGTCTATCAGAAAAGCCTGTTTCTTTCCTTTTTGATAAATCACATGTCTGGACCTGTCAGTCCAATAGTTTATTTAGAGGAAGAAGGTTTAAAGCATGGTTATTTCACCATTGATCATCATCAATAAATTATTCATTTTGTGGGAAAGTTCACATAAAATTGCTTATATCTTGCATTGCTTGTGACCCAGTGGCTGGAAACCAGATATGGTCTGATTTATAGAACTCAATATCGACATCTACTATCCTGGTGAATGTTAATAGTACTGATAGAAAGTTCTCTTTACAAGTCATATATGTGTTCATTTTGGGTCTGTGCAAAATGACGAAAATATGGATTTGCCCTTTCATCTTTTGGAAATTTGATCCAAATTTATACAGACTGTGGTCGGAGAACAATGAGTGCACGAACAGGATGGTCCTATGGAGTTGAAATTGAGGAGCCATTTTCTTGCCATGAGCACTCTGCTGAGTAGGAGAAACTTGTGCGAGAAAACGGGAAATAGAGCAGATGTGAAGAGATGAGCAGAGGAGAGGCAGTTTGACTTCAGAGAAAGGAGGAAATCACCAGTTTTCCAACTTTCAGGAGGCCAGACTGGGCTTTTGCTTCTGTAAAATTGTTCTGTGTCTTTTCAGTAAACCCTTCGTGTTTGTATTTGCTCAGATGGGATTCTCGTGCACTTGCTAAAGCCTGAAATTCAGCCCATTGTCCTATTGCACCTGCTCCTTCAGATCTCTTGCATTCTTTGCCATTTTTTCAGACATTGTTCTCCTATGGATCTTCCCTTTGGTTTCTTCCTTATTTCCTGGGACAAAGCAGTTCCAGTTGCTTTTCTGACATGATAGAAAGGATGGAGGGCCTTCTAGTGTATCTGGGAGACATCTGGCACTGCTAGGTTGTTTGAGGGAGTGGAGGGTCAGGTAGGGCTGCTGTGAGTCCATCAGGCACCTTTGTGTGTTCTTTTAGAAGAGCCACTCTTTCTGCTTGGCCAGGTCTCCTCGGCAAGGATAATCTTCAAAACCATTTGTGGTGCCCCTGAATCATGGACCCATACACACCCTCCAGGTAGTTGAGGAAGAAAAGAAACATAACTAATCAGAGAAACAGTAATCCCGGCAAAGTCAATATATTCTCCAAATCAGGCTACTAAGAAACTGGTGAAAAGGTGTATATATCCTTCTTTTTATCTTAAGTGCTCTGTTTGGTGGCCTTAAAAAAAAATAGATTTTCTGGGCTTGTGTTGTGACCTAGTGGTTGAGCAAGTCAGCTCCCACCTAGCTTGTCCTTTTTCCATGGTTTGAATCCTGGCCTGGTGGCTTGAAAAACAAGCTGGATGCATGTGTTCACATGCCCAAGATCCCAACAGGATGGACAAACCATATAAACAACTCTAGGAATGTGTCTGATTCTTTTTAAAATTTTTTTCCAGCTCTCTTAACTGCCACAGCACTGGCTGGCCCTGATTCTTTTAATATATACTTGAAAAATATTTTTATTTGATATTACAAAAATAATAAAATCATAGAGAATAATGTAATGGATATGCATGTAGTTATTGTACAGCTTTATTAATGCTCCTGGAAAAATTTAAAGATATAGTTTAAATGCAAAATGTAGAATCTTTTCCCAAACCCCTATTGATATTGCAAAGACAATTAATGTTCCTCCAAATACACTTTTGGGATCCCAAGCTCTTGGCTGTGTAGTTGGCAGCCTTTAAGATGACCCTTAATGGGGACCAGCAGTTGGCGTAATGGCTATGTCGCTGGACTCCCATATAGTGGACCGTGGTTTGAGAATGGACCGTGGTTTGAGACCCAGTGGCTTAAACTCACACCAGGCGCTTGTATGTGCGTGCCCAAGATCCTGAGAGGATAATGGAGGGTAAGGGATTGCAGCATGGCCATCCCCCCTGGGGGGTGATTCCTTGCTTTCTGTCTCTATGTCTTTCTGGTGAGCACATGTGCCCTATAGCAAAAAGCTCTCCCGAGGGAAAAAAAAAAAGATGACCCTTAATCATTTTGCCTCCCGTCATTTACACTTTTGTATAACTTTAGTGTGGGCTGAATCTAGAAACCTCTTTCTTTCTTTCTTTCTTTCTTTCTTTCTTTCTTTCTTTCTTGGGAAAAAAAAAAGATGACCCTTAATCGTTTTGCCTCCTGTCATTTACACTTTTGTATAACTTTAGTGTGGGCTGAATCTAGAGACCTCTTTCTTTCTTTCTTTCTTTCTTTCTTTCTTTCTTTCTTTCTTTCGAGAGATTTTTGCTATAGGACATGTACACATGCCCAGAGAGACAAAGCGAGACAGAGACAGAAAGCAAGAAATCACTCCCTAGGGGGATGGCCATGCTGCAATCCCTTTTCCATCATTCTCCTCAGAATTTGGTACATGCATGCACATACACCTGGAATGAATTTCAAGCCACTGGGTCCAGGATTCAAACTGTAGTTGGCCATGTGAGAGTCCAGTGACATAACCATTATGCCATCTGGTGGTCCCAAGATCTATTTCTAATGAATAGATTATGGTAAATCATCTCAAATTAGGCTACAAAGATTTGGTTCTTCTGTTTTGGGGATTTCCTATTAATTGACATGAGGGAAGCCTCTCCCCATGGAAAGACTCACAAGGAAAGGAATTGAGGGAGATCTGCAGCTGACAACTAGATAGAAACTGAATTCTCCTAGCAACCACATGAGAGAGCTTGGAAGCAGATTCTCTCTCCATTGAGCCTTCAAATGAGAACACAGCCCTGAGTAACACCTCAATTTAGTCTTAGGAGAGACCTCGAGGCAGAGGCACTGGGCTAAGCTGTACCTAGAAACTGTGAAATGATAAATGTTTGTTCTTTCAAGTATGAAGTATTGAGATAACTTGTTACACAGGATATCATATATAAAATGGTTCTCAAAAAATGGTTGAGCCAGATATTCCTATGACTCCATCAGAGAAATGTCCAGACAAGAAAACAGAACAAAAGCAACCCATTTTAGCAGGTTTTAAATAATGTGTTAAGAAGGGATAATAATTCCCTTCTTATGAATATTATATTATAAAAGCTCTATAAAATTCTGGGTGCCTTGTTCAGCCCACGGTAAACTCTCAAAAATGAGATAATGATACGCTGTATTCTGAAAAGTTTTTAAGAGAAGTTCAATTATGAACAAGTTTGAGGAAGATATGAATGGAAGATGGGTAGTATTTGGAAACTATAGAGAATACAAAAAAGAGGCAAAGAGGGGCAGCCACATAGTATAGTGGTTCATTAAATGCTGTGTGTAGAAAGCTGGATCCCACATGGCCAACTGCAGTTTGAATTCATGCCCCTGTGACTTGAAAAACACACCTGGTGCTTGTGCATGTGTGCCCCAAATCCTGATGGGATGGAGAAATGGAGAAAAAAGGATTGTGGTGTGGCTATGCTCCATTAAGGGTTTCTCTCTTTCTGGTGAGCACATGCTGCCATTGGCAATTAAGAAAAAAATAGGGAATAAGAAGAAGGAGAAGGAGGAGGAGAAGATAAGGAGGAAGAGGAGGAGGAGGAAAAAGAAGAAGAGGAGAAGAAGAAAGGAAGGGAAGGAGGGAGGGAGGATAGAAGGAAGGGAGGGGAAGAAGGAAGGAAGGAAAAGAAGGAAAGAGAGGGAGAGGGGGAGAGAGAGAGAAAGAGACAGGAAAGAAGAAAGGAAGGAAGGAAGGAAGGAGTGAAGGAAGGAAGGAAGGAAGGAAGGAAGGAAGGAAGGAAGGTAGGAAGGGAAAGGAAAGAAAGAGAAAAGAAAAAAGAAAAGAAAAGAAAAAAGAAAGCGTTAGGTGTCTTAGCAGGAGAAGCCACGCAGTTTGGAATCATTAAAATATATGCTGGGGAGTATCTCATACAGAGTTGGTATATGTCACTATATACCAGAGTAGATTCTTTGAATAAGTTAATGTAGGCCGAGTTGGTCCTATAAGTTGCTTCTTTTAAAATTTTTCCCCCAAGTTTTTAGAGATACTGCCCATTTCTACCATACTAGAATTGAATAAAAATATTTTTTCCAAGCCAGCAGGCGACATGGTGGTTAGGGCACTGAACTTCCACATGACTGACTCCATGGTTAGAGTCCCGGATCTGGCAGCTTGCTTTCTCACTTTCTGTTGCTCTCTCTCTCATGTGTGCATATGTGTCCCCTATAGCAAATTTAAAAAACTAATAATAGTAAGCAAAAGTAAATAAATAATTTTTTTTGGGGGGAGAGGTTTTTGCTATAGGGCGCGTGCACTCGCCAGACAGACAGAGAGAGAAAGAGAGACAGAAAGCAAAAAATCACCTCCCGGGGGGTGGGCCACACCGCAATTTCTTCTCCTCCATTCTCCTCTCGGGATCTTGGGCACATAAGCACATGCACCCTGCGTGAGTTTAAGCCACCGGGTCCAGGACGAGAACCACGGTTGACTACATGGGAGTCCAGCGACATAGCCATTACGCTAACTGCTGGTCCCAAATAAATAATGTTTTAAAAAAATATTTTTTCTCATATCTCTCAGTGATTATTTTTTAACCTTTTGTTTTGTCACTTTCTGCCATGAAAAAATGGTTTGTAATCTTTCAAGTGTCTTTTATCTCTACCCTCAGTAAATTTATATGTGATCTCTGTAAGAATTCTTTGGCTTCTTCCCTTTTCTTTGTCTCCCTGGCTCCTCCCTGTTCACATCCTCATTATTGCTTTCCAGGGTTGCTGCACAGCTTCTCCGCAGCGGACTTCCTCGGTCACTGCCAGCCAGAGTTCTGAACTGAATTGTGACGGAGCTTATTATTACAGGACTGTCCATGAGAAATTATAGCTGTTACTCCTGTAATTGTCTACCAATACTGAAGCAGAGAGATAAACAGAGTCCAGCATGGCAGATGAGAAAGTGATGGCCTGGGTAGAAGAGAGAAGGGACTAAACAATAAAGGAATATAAATGCTCAAAATCAGCATGCCAAACAACGTTGTTTGACAGACCAGTGATGTTTACCAGGCTGATTTAAAGCTGAATGAGGTGGTCGATTTGGTGAGTAATTACACTGAGGCTTGACAGGCCCGAGGAGCCAGAAGCTAAATTAGATTATCAAGCACAAGAGGCCGAGTTAGCTGAGCTGCATGTGCACAGCATTTGTATTTGAAATAAATAACCTGCAATCATTATTTCTTCCAGATGTCTACCGTAGGGGTCAGGTGTAATGAATACAATAGTTTAAACATAGACCTTGTGGTTTACAAAACTCTAAAACAGGGGAAGAGGTTGGTTTATTTCTAGGGTGGTTCAACTGTCCGGCGCTCCTAGCTGGCATGAAATTTCCTCCACATGATTGCTCTGTCACTCATAATCTTGCCATGGCCACTTCTCTTATGACAGGAGTCTAGAAAGGTAGCATGGGGACCAGCAGTTGTGTAATGGCTATGTCACTGGACTCCCACATAGTCAACTGTGGTTCGAGTCCTGGACCTAGTGGCTTAAACTCACACTGGGCACGTGTGTGTGTGTGTGTGTGTGTGTGTGTGTGTGTGTGTAAGCCCAAGATCGCAAGAGGAGAAGGGATTGCGGTGTGGCCATCCCCTTGAGGGTGAGTTCTCCCTTTCTGTCTCCCTGTCTTTCTCTGTCTTTCTGGCAAGTGCACACCCTATAGCAAAAACCTCTCAAAAAAATAATAAAATAAAGGTAGCCTGATTGGGGTCAGATGGTACAGCAGTGAAAATGATGTGGTGCAAGGCTGACCTACATGGGAGGGTTCTGGGTTCACATCCAGAGACCTCCTTGAGTATGCTAGATACACGTGTGCTTAGGATCTGAGGCTGGCTAGTGCTGGGGATGGATCAAGGCATCAAGAGCTGGGGTGCTATCTCTCTTTCTCATTCATGGAAGAAATAAATACATAAACTTAAGTTTATAAAAAACAGAAATGGAAGAAAGCTAGCATGACTTTCAGTTGCATGCAGGATCTTAGCCCCTGATTAAAGAGATGTAGTGAACACACAAAATCCTCCTAATTTTGTGCAAAATCCCTAGGACTGTCGGAAGAGTCAATTACTCACATTCTGGTGTCACTCCTGCCCGTCTTCTTCAGTACCCAGAAACTGCTTCAAGTCACAGCACTCAGCCCATCCTATAAAACTCCCCTGCCTGCTCTAGATGCTCTTTGCATCTATGGCAGAATTTGCAGAATTTGTGGCCAGCTGTAAGACCATCAACAGATTCAATTCTACATAGCAAGAGAAAGGATCTGAAATCAGAGCCCTGTATAACTTCTTTTTACATTAAGGTCACTTAAGTCCCACAGAAACCCAGAGGAACCTGTTTTTTTGCAAAGCATCTTTACACCTGCACATGGAAGGAAACCTGGCTGTGGGCAGGGACTAACAGAGTGGAGAGAGGCCAGAGGGGGACAATGTTCCCCTCTCCTCCATCTTATTTTCTTATTTATTCTCATATCTTTATATAGTAATGAGAAAAAAATGAAAATGATAAGTTTTATAAAATTGTTATATATATATATATATACACACACACACACACACATAGATAAACATATGTGTTTAGTTCCACAACAAATGTTTTAATTTTTTTTTTGGAGAGATTTTTGCTATAGGGTCCGTGCACTCACCAGAAAGACAGAGAGAGACAGAGAGACAGAAAGCGAGAAATCACCCCTGAGGGGGGATGGCCATGCTGCAATCCCTTCTCCATTTTCCTCTTGGGACCTTGGGCATGCACACACATGCCCGGTGTGAGTTTAAGCCACCAGGCCTGGGACTCGAATCGCGGTTGACTACATGGGAGTCCAGCAACATAGACATTACACCAACTGCTGGTCCCACAAATGACAAATGTTAATAAAACAAGTGGAAAATTTGCCTAGACACCTACCACCAATGAATCAACTGCTATAATTTCCATGTACCTTTCTGACCTTATCTATGTATAATTTGAAATGAATATGTGTAATCAGAGAATAAATATGATCTATGATTTTAAGGGCTTCTGGCACTGACCTTAAATAGAATTGATGTCATTATCCTTGAAATTGGAAGAAATAAGACAGAAATCCTGGAAATTTTCAAAAATAATGTTTATTTTCATGAAGCAGTTTTGTATATCTTCATTATTTTCTTGTGAACTTGAGGTTGAATAAGGAACACTTCTGGGAGACCTTAGCGGGTGGCAGAATATAAGGTAGGTGAAGGGAAGTGTTAGAGTTTCCTCCTCAGTCCTTTCAGGCTGTACAATTTCAGTGTGTGAAGCCAATAAAGGGAGAAATATCAAAACTTATCACAGTTCCTGCTACCAGGGGTCGGTGCCTACCATGTTTACCCCAGTGTACCTTTATGGCTTTCAGCCTTTTAGTCCCTCACAGAGGCAGAGAAATTCTTTGATTTGTCCCTAACTAATGATAACCTTTATTGGGGAAACAGCTGCTATGAAATATGAACTCTTCTGTCACTTGGTTTCTCTTTCTTGGATTAACTCAATAGCATCCAAATGTTGGCCTTTGCTTTCTGTTGCTCTCTCTCTCATGTGTGCATATGTGTCCCCTATAGCAAATTTAAAAAACTAATAATAGTAAGCAAAAGTAAATAAATAATGTTTTTGGGGGGGAGAGGTTTTTGCTATAGGGCGCGTGCACTCGCCAGACAGACAGAGAGAGAAAGAGAGACAGAAAGCAAAAAATCACCTCCCGGGGGGTTGGCCACACCGCAATTTCTTCTCCTCCATTCTCCTCTCGGGATCTTGGGCACATAAGCACATGCACCCTGCGTGAGTTTAAGCCACCGGGTCCAGGACGAGAACCACGGTTGACTACATGGGAGTCCAGCGACATAGCCATTACGCTAACTGCTGGTCCCAAATAAATAATGTTTTAAAAAAATATTTTTTCTCATATCTCTCAGTGATTATTTTTTAACCTTTTGTTTTGTCACTTTCTGCCATGAAAAAATGGTTTGTAATCTTTCAAGTGTCTTTTATCTCTACCCTCAGTAAATTTATATGTGATCTCTGTAAGAATTCTTTGGCTTCTTCCCTTTTCTTTGTCTCCCTGGCTCCTCCCTGTTCACATCCTCATTATTGCTTTCCAGGGTTGCTGCACAGCTTCTCCGCAGCGGACTTCCTCGGTCACTGCCAGCCAGAGTTCTGAACTGAATTGTGACGGAGCTTATTATTACAGGACTGTCCATGAGAAATTATAGCTGTTACTCCTGTAATTGTCTACCAATACTGAAGCAGAGAGATAAACAGAGTCCAGCATGGCAGATGAGAAAGTGATGGCCTGGGTAGAAGAGAGAAGGGACTAAACAATAAAGGAATATAAATGCTCAAAATCAGCATGCCAAACAACGTTGTTTGACAGACCAGTGATGTTTACCAGGCTGATTTAAAGCTGAATGAGGTGGTCGATTTGGTGAGTAATTACACTGAGGCTTGACAGGCCCGAGGAGCCAGAAGCTAAATTAGATTATCAAGCACAAGAGGCCGAGTTAGCTGAGCTGCATGTGCACAGCATTTGTATTTGAAATAAATAACCTGCAATCATTATTTCTTCCAGATGTCTACCGTAGGGGTCAGGTGTAATGAATACAATAGTTTAAACATAGACCTTGTGGTTTACAAAACTCTAAAACAGGGGAAGAGGTTGGTTTATTTCTAGGGTGGTTCAACTGTCCGGCGCTCCTAGCTGGCATGAAATTTCCTCCACATGATTGCTCTGTCACTCATAATCTTGCCATGGCCACTTCTCTTATGACAGGAGTCTAGAAAGGTAGCATGGGGACCAGCAGTTGTGTAATGGCTATGTCACTGGACTCCCACATAGTCAACTGTGGTTCGAGTCCTGGACCTAGTGGCTTAAACTCACACTGGGCACGTGTGTGTGTGTGTGTGTGTGTGTGTGTGTAAGCAAGAGGAGAATGGAGGAGAAGGGATTGCGGTGTGGCCATCCCCTTGAGGGTGAGTTCTCCCTTTCTGTCTCCCTGTCTTTCTCTGTCTTTCTGGCAAGTGCACACCCTATAGCAAAAACCTCTCAAAAAAATAATAAAATAAAGGTAGCCTGATTGGGGTCAGATGGTACAGCAGTGAAAATGATGTGGTGCAAGGCTGACCTACATGGGAGGGTTCTGGGTTCACATCCAGAGACCTCCTTGAGTATGCTAGATACACGTGTGCTTAGGATCTGAGGCTGGCTAGTGCTGGGGATGGATCAAGGCATCAAGAGCTGGGGTGCTATCTCTCTTTCTCATTCATGGAAGAAATAAATACATAAACTTAAGTTTATAAAAAACAGAAATGGAAGAAAGCTAGCATGACTTTCAGTTGCATGCAGGATCTTAGCCCCTGATTAAAGAGATGTAGTGAACACACAAAATCCTCCTAATTTTGTGCAAAATCCCTAGGACTGTCGGAAGAGTCAATTACTCACATTCTGGTGTCACTCCTGCCCGTCTTCTTCAGTACCCAGAAACTGCTTCAAGTCACAGCACTCAGCCCATCCTATAAAACTCCCCTGCCTGCTCTAGATGCTCTTTGCATCTATGGCAGAATTTGCAGAATTTGTGGCCAGCTGTAAGACCATCAACAGATTCAATTCTACATAGCAAGAGAAAGGATCTGAAATCAGAGCCCTGTATAACTTCTTTTTACATTAAGGTCACTTAAGTCCCACAGAAACCCAGAGGAACCTGTTTTTTTGCAAAGCATCTTTACACCTGCACATGGAAGGAAACCTGGCTGTGGGCAGGGACTAACAGAGTGGAGAGAGGCCAGAGGGGGACAATGTTCCCCTCTCCTCCATCTTATTTTCTTATTTATTCTCATATCTTTATATAGTAATGAGAAAAAAATGAAAATGATAAGTTTTATAAAATTGTTATATATATATATATATATACACACACACACACACACATAGATAAACATATGTGTTTAGTTCCACAACAAATGTTTTAATTTTTTTTTTGGAGAGATTTTTGCTATAGGGTCCGTGCACTCACCAGAAAGACAGAGAGAGACAGAGAGACAGAAAGCGAGAAATCACCCCTGAGGGGGGATGGCCATGCTGCAATCCCTTCTCCATTTTCCTCTTGGGACCTTGGGCATGCACACACATGCCCGGCGTGAGTTTAAGCCACCAGGCCTGGGACTCGAACCGCGGATGACTACATGGGAGTCCAGCAACATAGACATTACACCAACTGCTGGTCCCACAAATGACAAATGTTAATAAAACAAGTGGAAAATTTGCCTAGACACCTACCACCAATGAATCAACTGCTATAATTTCCATGTACCTTTCTGACCTTATCTATGTATAATTTGAAATGAATATGTGTAATCAGAGAATAAATATGATCTATGATTTTAAGGGCTTCTGGCACTGACCTTAA